GGTGTTGCCGGTTGGCCATGGTTACCATCCACAGCACTCACTTGCAATCTCCCACAGTTTTTGATTATCCTGAGGCTTTCTGCGACGCTGGCATTTCGCATCTACATATTCGAGCGGTTGTTGGACAGGCACATTCGCTTTGTGGTCTTAGGTGTTCGCCCAGTGTTGTTGCACTCCCCTTCGACAACTCCTCGTACCAGAAGGAGAACGGAGAGTGGCTTGGCGGCAAACCTTCTCACCGGCTCTCATTGCAAGCCCAGGACTTTTGATGGGGCCCTGAGCCTCCTCATTGGCGACAGAGCACCTACCCAATGAGCTGGGAAGCTTCAAGTGCTACATTCCTCTTTTGGTAGCAGGATAACCGCCTGCCATTTGCCGAAGTCCAGTGGTTGTGTGGAGATATGCAGGAGTCAGCATCCAATGAAGCCTCGGTATGTGCTTGCAGGAGGAGATGGCATTTGAATGGGGGCCATTTTGGACTTTCGATAAACCCACTGCCGGCTGGCCTCGAAGAAATGCGCCTGTGAACGACCCAATCAACACAACGTCAGCCCTATTTCCATCCCCACAACCCGCGGCGCTTCTCAGACACTGGATGACTTGCTTTGCTGACATATCTTCGATAGACCTTGGCTATTGGACGCACGGCTCCGACCTGGTCGCTCGCGTGTTTGTTTCGGCCTTATGAGTAGGCCCAGTGAGAGCCTTCATGCTGCTCGCGGGCCAATCCCGTCTGCCGTTTGCCTAGCCGACCATTGTGACGATGGCCAAACATCACGCACCTCTGCTTCCGCCCGCCCGAAGCGTGCAGGACCAGCAATTTGGCACACCCAAGCACTCCTGACACGCCATAAACGCGCTACACAGAACATCTACTGGGGTTGGTACCTCGTACTGTAAGGGGCTGCCAAGGGACAACCTTGATGGCTTGAGCTTGACTTCCTGACATTCTAGAAACATGGCCCCTGCCCGAACGCTGTCGCCCAAACGCTAATACAAGGGGGCTGCGATATAACTAAGGCGTCGTTGATTGACGAGGTGGTCTGCAGTGGCCAGAGCTGTCATTCTTGCAGATTGCAGCTCTTCGCCCCTTACCATCACTTCATGGACGAGAGGGCAATCACAGCCGTACGAGGTAACAGGTGATAGGGCCGCCGGCAGTTGTAGAATACGAGGCGACGATAACGAGACTCACTGGTTGTCTTCCTTCTTGCGGCAAGTACTCAGGCAGTCCAGAGGCTTGCAAGTTACCTGGCTCCAGACCCTGACCACCATTCGATATACCCTGAAGGACGTCTTCTTTGGGCTTATTCAGTCTTGCAGTGGACCCCGTTCACAGCGTTAGAAGGCATGTATGGGAATTGCGGCATGCAACTCGTCGCGGAGCTGCAGGTCATCCCCCTTGGGATGCCCCGAATTCAGGCAACACGTTGAAGCATGCTACCTGAGATCCTCGATCAGCAATGAACTCGCGGGAAAGTCACCACGACGACAGTCCAATCACGTCGTAGGACGACCCTCTGGTATTTTTCCTATGCCGGTACCCACTAGTCGAGGTGAGGAGGTCGAGCTGCTTGTCTCACAACTTGCCATTCGTGCAGAATACCCGGCCCTGGAACGCGCAACATGAGCGAAGGCCAGGCCAGACGTCCTGCAACGTCTGCCTGGTTTGCAAGTCTTACTTCCCTGTGCAGTGCGTTGAGAATGAAAGAAGGGCAGCTCCTCGTCGAGCCAGGTTGTGGGATAAGGCCTGCTTGTCGGCCGCATATTCCCCGGGTCATATTCCAAATGATCCTTCGGACGCAATGCGTGGGTGATCGCGCTCCCTGGAAAATCCCAACGCCCGTCTGCCACAGGGTTGCAATAGTTTGGGATCAGCAAAAGTCCTCGCGATCCCTGCCATCCTTGTCCCGGCAGGCCTTATGTCAGCTTCGGGCACGCGCCGACTCTATGAAACCCAGGAGTTTGGTTGCCGCCTTTGCTGTAATCATCCTGTCCCACCCCTCCGTTGCACATGTCCGCTTCGCGCATGGAGAGGATCAATACACCGTAGGATTCGAGCAGTTCTGGTTGGACGCTGAAGTGGTTGGACGGAGAAACGCATCACAATGCCTCACCCCCCTTGGGCCTTGGAGCGCGCTCGAGGCGGAAAGGATGCGGGCGTCAGGTTTGGTGATCCTTCATTAAACCAGATGCTTCTGGCCATTCGAGGCCCAATTATTGGTACGGATGCCTTACTGGTACGTACTGGACCTGCAGCACTCCAGACAGGCCGACGATCAGGATGACCGTCCCGGATTCCGAGGATCGCGAGATTGCACGAAGGGCCAAATTGATCACTGAACTGTACCAAGCTTTGCAGCGACCTGGTGGGCGTATTGGTTCAACCGTTGCGCAGATCAATCCTACCGTTGGGCCGGCTGTTTCGTCACAGTCAAGACGCTCCCCTTTTCCAGCGGGCCCCAAGCTCTTCGTCAGGGATGTGCAGACACATGGGATCGTGGCTATCCATGTCCTCGAGGGACACTCCATTGCCTGCCGGAAGAATCCTGTTAAGCATATAGCTGCTGGGAGCGAGACACAGTTGGCGCAGGCTGGAAGTTTTCATCGTTGAGACGCAGTGCATGGTGCTACATGTCGTCCGCATGTGGTGCGTTCGAAAAGGGGGTGGGGAAGCGACGGGGCTCTACTCAACACGGCAGGGGGTGGTTTGCAGTGGGCAGACATACTGGGTAGTCTCCCATCAAGTCGCGTTGCCACACACTTACCCGCTGGATGGGATCAAATGAGTAACTTCCCAAGTCGGCGAAATGCTCATCAAGCCAAATGATCCTCCCATTTACCGGCAATGGATCGACCAGCGACTCAAAATGCTTCCACGGCGCTATGCTACCTACATACATTCATGCAGCCTCAAAGGTCTCCAGCTCTTGGTGGTAGCGTTGTTGCTATCGAATGGGCGATGGGTTTTCACGAAAAATACCCGCCCGGTTGAATTCAAAAAGCGATAACGGAAGTCAACCAATCTCGCCATGTTCTGGTCTTGCATACGCTAGGTGTCGAGGTACGCTGAATCCTTCACAGGTGTGCCTGCAGGGTCCACCCATAGGCCGTTAAGATTGATCCGTATAGTACATGGTGCAGTAAGTACTGTTCGCGGATTGTGGGAGAACGAACCTTACCCGTGGGTCAAGGGTATTTCAGCTTGTCGCATGATTGCGTCGAGGATCCTTGGGAGTGCTGCTGCATGGAGTGGCAACCTTTGTCTGTCTCGAGAACTCAAAAGACGTTGGTACGTCCTTGTCGTGGCAGATGTCTTGCTCCGTGTACTCCAATGATTGGGGTCTCTCCGGCCACGTACTGATCACCACCACCAACTCCCTCGGCGGTCTTCTTGATACTCGCCCTTAACGGACCCTACGGTCTTGACTTCAGGTGGAAGGCGTGACGTCGGAATGTTTGGCCATCCCGCAAGCCTTGTCCATTGAGGTAAGTGGCCTTTCCGCCACCGCATCAGAGACGGGTCGAATGCGAGTCGTGTCGAATCGTGTCGCAGTGCATATGAGGACTGGGCTTTCCGATGAGCTTCCAACTTTCAGGCCCCCCTTGGTCGGCTTCTTTCTCTTGGCCGTAGAAGGCCCGAATATGGGGTTTCTCCACCACAGTGTTCGGAGAAGTCGTCCTCCACATTGGCACCATGGCCAAGACCACGCTGGGATATGGACATGGTCGGCCTAAAATTTCTCGTTTGTTGGCTGCTGTCTTGGGAAGGGCCAGCAAATTTACGAGCTCGCAAGCGCAGTACGTGTTCGAACAGGACCTCACCAAAAAGACGGCCGGAGAAGCTTAATATCAAAGGGGAAGGCGTCAAGGCCGAAGATATTCCAGATGCGGGAACATGTACGGTAGGCTTGAGCGAGGAAGGCAACAAGCATGCCCGGAATGGCGTCGACGCGCGCAGGGGTGCGGCATCTTCATGGCGGTGTGCGAGATGGACAGATGGCACAACGAACAGACTGGCCGAGAAGAATCGAGAATACCCAATCCGGTGGGTTAAGAGCTCATGAAGCGATGCTGAGTGGAACGTGACTGTTCTCTAAGATCAGTCTTTTACGTCTTCGACATTTGGGACGAAGGGGCGTCGGATGGGCTGAGGAGCGAGCTTGTACCACACGGCCTTGGTGTTTGTGTGTGCCTTCTGCTGTGTACAGGTCCGTGTCGAGGTTCAGCCATGCGTCGAGGACTGTCTGTAGCCACATAGTATGTATGTGCACAATATGAGCGGAAGGGACTTGCTCTTGGCACCCGGAGTTTGACGGGTCTATCCCGTCCACCGGCATTTTGTACCCCAGTACGTACGAGGTACTCGCCCTGTGCACGGAGGACCTAGGCTCCTAGGTACCTGTAAGTACCAGGTAGTCAGTCGCTGCGCTGCCCCGGGCACCCCCGGGTTCTCCCCCAGCCCGCGGAAGAAGTCGCTTTCCCCGACGTGGGCGTCCCTGTGGTTTCCCACACAGCTCACTTTCCCCTCTCGTCTCTTATTTCCGCATCCTCACCAGCTGCAACGGCCTCGCATCACCGTCAACGCGGAAATATCTCCACACTCGATCAGTCAGTCCCTCGTGCGCTCCCTCTCTAACACCCAATCTGCGCCATGGTGTCCAGCGTCCCTGGGACGGGCACCGGTTCAGATGCCTCCCCTCCGCAAACCAACGGACATGGCGAGAAGCGCAAGGCCGAGGCAGAGTCCAGCTTGGACAGGCCACCACATACCCGATCCAAGAGGAATAGATACATCTCTATAGCATGGTAGGAATGAGATGGCATACAGAACCAGGCCGTGGCCGCCGAGCTGACATGATTCTTGTGCTGCAATAGCAACGAGTGCAAGCGGTGAGCCCTCATCCAGTCTCAAGCCTCGAGACAGTTGTCGTTCGAGGCTGACATGTCGGCTGGCACAGACGCAAGATCAAATGCAACGGGAACACACCGTGCCAGCGATGCGGCAACTTGAACCTCGAGTGCGTCTATGCGCCGAATTGTTGCACCAATTCGCTCAAAGACTCCGCGTGAGTAGCGCCAACATGCCAGCTCGAGATGGCGGCTGGCTGACTGGCTGACCCTGGCCACAGCGAGTTCAATCAGATGCGCGAGCACATTTCCGCCCTTCAGGAACAAGTCAATGACCTTTATGCGAGCCTCAATGAGCTTCGAAGCAGATCCGAGATCGCCTACACAGCGTCCATCGACCCTCAATTCTCCCACGATGGCTCGAACCGGTCAATGTCCATATCGCGCACGCTACCTCCGCTCATCTCACCTAAGAGAGCGCCTCCCAAGGCGTTGCCCCAGTTCCATGGTCCGACAAGTACCGTATATGGACTGGATGTGGCCAAATCCTCTCTGCAAACCATGGGCATAACTCACAATGTGGCGGATGACGGGCTGATGTCGCGTGAAAGGAGCCGAGCTGCGTCGCCGGTCATGATGCTGCCGGCGCATCCTAGCAAAGATCCACTGTGGTTGATTGACCACTCCGAGGTGGTCCGGTTGTGCCGTGTCTATGAAGAAGAGATTGGAATCATGTATCCCGTGATTGACATTGACAAGGTCCTGAAACAGGCCAATTCGCTGTACAAGTTTATTGGCGCATCTCTGCGGACTGGCCTCGGTCAGCCTAGTTTGCCCGGTGCTGATACTTTTGACGATGAGGAGACTACTGTCCTCAAGATGGTCATGGCCGTCACCTTGACGGTGGAAGGCCACGGCCGCAGTGAATTGGGCCAGAGGTTCTTTGACGCTGCAAAGCCGGCCACTGACCTCAAGCTGGTCACCGCAATCGACGTCAAGTCCGTGGTCTTGACTGTGTTGACCGTAAGACCAGCAGACTTGCAGGTGCAAACATGGCCCCCGCTGACTTCCTTGGTAGGCCACCTTCTACTTCCAGAAAGACGAAGAAGCACAGGCGTGGCGTTTCATCGGCATCGCCGCGCGTATGTGCATTGAGATGGGCCTGCACCGGAAAGACTCGCTCCTCAAATCTTTCACCAATGAAGCCGAATACCAGCAAGCGATTCGCATCTTCTGGACAGTCTATGCGCTGGACAGGCGCTGGAGCTTTGGCACTGGAATGCCTTTTGCATTGCAGGACGCGGATCTGGATCCCGCTCTGCCTGAGCCAGTCAGTGCCGTCTCCGATTTTTGAGGTCTGTGTTAATTTGTCGCGCAGGACGAGGGGCATCCGTACCTGAAACATATCACGAAATACAATCAGATTGCCACCAAGGTGTGGTATCACAACCTTGCCTATGAAGCTGGACAGAACACGAAGAAGGACGAGATTGGATTCCTCGACTACCAGATCCTACAGTGGTATTCCCAATTACCGGAGTCGCTGCAATTCAACAATCGCGATCTGGCACGAGAGAATGAAATTCCCGGCCGCGGCGTGCGACGACTTCGGCTACTGATGTACCTGCGCAAGAACCAGGCACGAATTTCCATTTATCGACCTATTCTCCACTCGGCGACCAGCATCATGGACAATCGGCATTATGCTCAGAATGTCATTGATGTGGCTAAGGACACCATCAACACACTCACGGCGGTCAACCAGATGTCGGACATCTACAAAACCCAGCAAGTGCTGTATAACTATTTCCTGGTGCAGGCTCTGGCGGTTCTTTTCCTGTCCGTGGCTCATGCTCCTGCAGTCTTCTGTGGACAAACCCGGCAGGAATTCTACGCCGCGATTGAGATTGTCAAGGGCTTCAGCACCAAATCCCACGTGTCCAAAAGATTGTGGAGGACCATTCGCGGGCTGAAAGACATTGGTGACAAGATCGGCCTCCTGGCTCGTGGGGGCAGCACCATGAATGACGCCGAGCAAGATGCGCACTCCGATGCTGCTGTGGCAATGGCCGGCCTGGCAGGACACAAGGTCGATTATAACCAGGCCTATGGAAACCCTCCCACCAGCCAGGGCAATGGAGACCAAGGCCAGGAGCTTGGAGTAAGCCCTGATGATGCGCTTCAGATCACCAACGAGTTGTCCAGCCTGTTTGAGCTTGCCGGCGGGTACGGTGCTTCGACCCCCGGCGCTGATGCCTTCAACTACGTGGGCCCAAGCGGAGACGTGGGCATGCCCGAGGGATTTAATGTCTTTGGCAACGAGCCAGAATTTGCGAGGATTATGAACGAACTATTTTGAGCATGGATAGGGATGAGATGATAGTGACAGACTGCCTGGCATAGCTTGGACGACTTACGTATCTCTACACAGCACAGTGTAGCGCAGTCCGAACTCACCTGGCCATGTGTGACAACATGGCAAAAGTATGAACATGAGTAGGCGACTTCTGGCGCTCTTCCTTTCGCCTTGGGGCCGCAATGCATTTATGTGGCACTGTTGCTCACATCCAAAGTGGTGGTGACCCACGTGACCTGGAGCCAAGGCCAGCAGTGCGGCCAATGATTGGCCACGTTTCCACTTCATCGTAACCTGCAACTTTCGCTTCGGGGCGCATTCAGAAGTGCGGCAGGCCAGGGTCATTGATCAGTCACCCGGTTTCGACGCATTCCTCGCCCATGCGAACTACCTACAGGACCACCAGGTAGCGTTGCGGATAGTATTCGTGACCTTTGCACCAGCGTCACCGAGAAAGTGACTTAGCTCTCGAGCCAAACGAACACATCGTGGGTGGATTCACCGATTGTCCACCACAGCCCACCTTCAGATCAACCCAGCCCTACAGGTCATCTCCTTGCTGCGGGCCTGCTTCATTCTGCTCATAGCTTGACAGGGGCATTGAAAGAAAGAGCCAAAGCCCTCCCGGACGCAAGAAGCGACAGCACCGCGCAATCATTCCTCCATGCCGCCCACCGGTCCGACCGCACACCTCTCCTGACCCTGATTTGGGCCCCTCTCACCCCGCGCCAAGTGACGGGCGCCGTGACCTCGTCTCCTTCTCACAGACTACTCGAACCCTTCCGATTGTAGGTCCAGGGCCGTGCCCCCCCAGCGGACTCGATCTCAACGCTGTCTGCCGCACAAGCCTCCGCCCTGGCCTCTGGCCTGGAAAGGCTCGAAATTGCCTCAGAGTACTCCGAGTCCCTCTACTACCAGCAATTCACCAGCTCCTCCGCGACCCTATCGAACATAATGTCACAATCCTCGTCTCAGAGTCCAGACAGCTGGATTGGCACCTTTTGCAACTTGGTCGGGCACGAATACTTTGCCGAAGTCAGCGAGGACTTTATCGAAGATGACTTTAACTTGACGGGCCTGCAAGCACAGGTGCCCATGTACAAAGACGCGCTGGAGATGATCCTGGACGTTGAACCCTCAGAGACAAATTCCTCGGCTCTCTCAGAAGAGGAGGAAGAGGAAGAGGAAGAGGAGGATGATGGCATCCTGGGGGACGAGCTGGACGAGCCGCCTGCCGCTCCAAATGGTGGTTCACGGAGACAGTCTGGCGTCTCGGCCAATGGACGAAGACACGGTCGTACCTCATCCGATACTTCGGTCATTGAGTCATCGGCCGAGCTGCTGTACGGACTGATACATGCCCGCTACATCACCTCCCGACCGGGCATCAACCAGATGATGGAGAAGTACGAGTTGTCGCACTTTGGGTACTGTCCGCGGGTATATTGTGGTGGCGCAAAGGTGTTGCCCGTGGGCCTGACGGACACTCCAGGCCAACAGACGGTCAAGCTCTTCTGTCCCAGCTGTCTTGACGTGTACACACCTCCGAATTCCCGATTCCAGGCCGTCGACGGTGCCTTCTTCGGGACAACCTTTCCTTGTCTGTTCTTCATGTCCTTTCCGGAACTCGATGTTGCACCGGTGAAGAAACGAGGCCCACGAGACCCCAACAACCCGGGGAACGACGATCTCGAAGGCACGTTGAGTCCCAACGAGGCAGCTTCGTCACGAGGTATCATTACTGCCAGCCGAAGTTCAAGCCTGACGTTACCTCAACCTCCGGCCATTCCTGGCGTGACGGCGGCAAAGGATGAGAAAGTGCCGGGCTCTTCTAGCGCAATATCGGCATTACCGCCTCAACCAGCCACGCTCAACGGCGTGGCTACACACAACTATGCCCCAGGTCTGGGGAAAGGCAAGATCTACGAGCCGAAAATCTACGGCTTCAAAGTCTCGGAGCGAGCAAAGAGCGGACCGCGAATGCGGTGGATGCGATCGAAACCGGTCGACATTAACGAACTGGACGAGGCGAGGTTATGGCATGAACGGTACGGTGGAAACGTCGACGGTGATCCGGATGAGGAATCGCGGCATCTAGCCGGCGATTTAGAGGACAATGATGACGATGATGATGTTGATGACGAAGATGAAGAAGAAGAAGAGGACGATGGAGCCGCGGCCGACCAAGACGGGGATGCAATCATGGCGACCCAGAGTCAGCAACCTGGTCCTAGTACACAGAAGGGCAAGTCAAAACGAGAGCCTGATGCGGATGGGGATGCGTTGATGGCCAGTCAGAGTCAAGGTGGCAGTCGGGGAAAGTCCAGACGGAAATCAGGAGCACGGGTGGGTCAGGGAATAGATGCTGTGTCGGCGCAGCACCAGCACCAGCACCAGCAACACGGAGATGGGAACTGGATATGAATGTGGCCCATGACTGAACATGACGACGGATGACGACGGATGATGCTGATGTGGATGGTTGATGGGTAGATGGAGGGAGAGAGAGAGAACGAAACCCGAGGAGATAGTAGGCGCACCTCAATTAACCCAGAGAGGGTGGCCGAGTGAACGAGCAGAGCGACTGAGCGATCGAATGGGCGGATCTTTGATTTTGTCGAGCAACGGGTATCCTCTCGAGGAGGTCGTCTTTGACCACTGTAGCAAGCATGTCTGCGAAGATTACACTGATTCGATTTATTTCGTTCTGACTGCCCCAGTCGTTGTGTTGCACCGAGTGTGAGTGTGTGAGCGGGTGTGAGTGAGTGTGAGCGTGACGGCGCATCACCTCTCGCATATGCAACGCTCTTTACAAAGGCCCGCGCCTCCATGAACGTCGTCTCTCCACGCACCACGGGGCCGGAACATGTTTGTTGTTCGCAGGCAGACAGATTGAGGGCAATACAGTATGGATGATTATACTCCGTACATCCCATCAACCCCGTCCGTCCGTCCGTCCGCCCGCCCGCCCATACATTTTAGAGCTCCATAGCCCTTGATATTCATGCACTATAGGATAAATAGTGTGAGCGACAAGATTAGATATAAACAAGATTGAATGAATGGGATGTCGAGAACAGGACATCATCGACTCTGTGCCCCCCACACGACGCTCAACGAAACCACCAATTCACACTGGCCGTGACGCCCGGCCCGACGCCCTTGACACTATGCCACCAGCCCTTGGGCGTGAACAGGGCGTCGCCCAGCCCCAGAGTCGTCTCCAGACCATGGATCCAGAGTAGGTCGGCGTACTTGTACTCGTACCCGTCCTCGTCCCGGCCGCGCCGTTCTCCCCAGATACAATCGTGAAGGGCCTTCATCTCGGGGCCGACCATCATTTCCTCGCCCCTGATCTTGGTCGAGAAGGAGGAGGGATCGTCGCCCAGCGTGCTCATCACGTCACGGTATATTGCGTCGCCGATCTCGGGCGGGAGGAGTCGGATCGTCTTTCGACCGGCGAGTTGGATGAAGAGGTTCGGGTTCGGATCGCGGTGCAGCGGCGTGTATGTGGGTGGACGGCCCATCCAGAGGGATGAGGCGTAGATGTCGCCTTTGATGGTTGGGATGGGCCTTGTGCTGTTCGTGCTCGTGCTCGTGCTCTCGTTCGTGCGCCCGTTCATGCTCCTGTTCGTGCTCCCATCCGTAGCGTGAGGAGAGGATGATCGCAGTAATGCTGGAATGGGCACATCATCCCGCAGGGTGGGCGGGAGTGTCGATAAGTCGCTCTGTGCCAGGTAGATTGATAGACGAGGCACATGCTCTTCCTCTTTTGGGAGTGTCTGTGACCTGGAAAGGTGGGCGAGCAGAACCTCCAAGGGGCCTTCGAGGCGTTCGAAATGCTCCGAGTCGGAACCGTCCTGCTTGGTCGTCACTTCTAGGGCCACGACGGTGGATTTGTATCCTTGCCAGAAGGAGGGGCGTAGTTCAGATGATTTGGGAACATTGATTGGGGGGCAATCTGTATAGGTGTCGTGGTTGGTATCAGCGTTCCTGACATTGGACCTGGCACTCATACTGGTATCGTGCCTCTCCCCACGTGGCTTGCCCCCGAAGAGATCGAACCCTGGGTTACCGTCGTGCACGAACCACTTGAAGCACGCGGGCGGGATATGTTCCCTCGATCGAGGCAGCCGTACCGGTAGACCCTCCTTGAAGGCCTGTTCGAAGGTAGAAGGGTGCCAGGACGGCAGCACGGGGACATCTCGAAGGGGTCCCAGTCCTCGTCGTCGACTTTGTTCCGTGGCCGTTGACGTGGTCAGTTGACGGACTGACGACCTAGAGGGCGAGACCCATCTCAACGATCCACTGGCGTTGACGGTGATGTTGGTGCCAGAGTCGGTGTTACTGCGGTACGGTCTAGTGACCATACGAGCGAGAGGCAGAGCAGGAGCAGGAGCAGGAGCGAGGAAGCCCCTGATGGAGTTGACTCGGGCCAGACATGGCATGAATGGATGGCCTCGTGGTAATTAGTGACTGGGTGACTGTCCTCACGGGCGTATGTATGTAGTCTGAGATGACGAGGGTATCAATGCTTGTCTGTATCAATCATGGGCAAATCATGGGCGTCGGATCCAGCACAGCACAACACCAACACAGAAGCAATCCCAGAGACACCAGAGCGAGTAACTAAGTTGGTGTTGTTGGCACTGTGGTACTCACCCAGTACTGTACCCAAACTGCCGATTACATAATCATCCGAGCCTCGGCGCGACACGGCCACACACGGCCCTTCTCCCCTTCTAGTTAAGCCTTTGACGACCGTGTTAGGCCCTTTTAATGGCCCTTCTAATTACCCTTCTAGTTAAGTCCTTGACGACCCTATAGGCCCTTTTAGGCTCCTATGGCCCTTTTAGGTGTCTCTAGGCCCGCCAACGTCACCACGTCGAATCAACCCACTTCCCACTGCAACTCTATGATGCTCCAGCCCGCCTCAATTGGCCTGCTCGGCCGAACATGTGCAGTTCTGTGTATGTATCTCAGTGAGTGGCTCTACGGTTGTGGACGAAGTAATCAGTACCTCGTGGATATATTGACCTCTCACATCGCCTGCATGTCTCGACGGTGATGTCTCGCTGATGTGACTCGAGGTGTGAGCTGAAACAATAGCCAGAGCTATTCATCTCGCTCTCACTGCTTTTTGTCTCTGTTGATCTCTATCGTCTAGTACCGCAGTCCCTCAGTACCTCAGTACCTTCGCCATGACGACCCGAATCGACCGCATCCGCCATATCGGCGCCGACAAAACCTCAGGATACACATACTACCCCGTCCTGATCATCGGCGCCGGCGAGTCTGGCATTGCCATGGGCTGCCGCCTCCGTCAGGTCCTAGGCTGCGACCAGTTCCGCATCTTTGAGCGAAGATCCGGCCTCGGGGGGACGTGGCATACGAACCAGTACCCGGGCATTGCATGCGACGTGTAAGTTATTCCATCGCCATCCTTCGGGGCCTCCCTATTCGTGCTAACGCCCACTGATAGACCCGCGTTGATGTACTCCTTCTCGTTTGCCCAGAATCCGCACTGGACGTCGCTGTTCCCCTCGGGGCCCGAAATCATCCGGTACCTGTACGACGTGTGCGAGAAGTTCCAGATCCTGGACAAGATCCAGTACGACACCTCGGTCAAGGCGGTGCGCTGGCTCGACGACGTCAACGAATGGGAAGTCGAGCTGGATCACCTCGCTCCTGGGGTGGGAGACCTGTCGACCCGCGAACGCCAACAGCTGGAGAAAGAGAAGGGCGTACATACCGTGGTGTTGAGGACCGAGGTCGTCCGTGCCAAGATCGTGTGCAGTGCCGTCGGAGGGCTCGTGGAGCCGAAACCCCCGCTGGACGTGCCTGGGCTGGAGACCTTCGAGGGCGAGATCGTGCACACGGCGCGCTGGAAGAAGGAGCTCGATCTGAAGGACAAGGACGTCGTGGTCGTGGGCACAGGCTGCTCAGCTGGCCAGGTGATGCCCCAGCTCGTCAAGCCCGAGTACGGCGCCAAACACGTCACGCAGCTAATGCGCTCGCCTCCTTGGGCCGTGGAATTCCTTCCCCCCGAGGCGCGAGAGTGGTGGGCGAAGTGGATCCCGTTCCTGAGCACGTATATCCCCGGGTTCCAGAACGGGCTGCGCAAGTTCATGTTCACCGTGAGCGAGATCGAGTTCGTGCAACTGTTCACGCCCAACGAAGCCGCCCGGCAACGACGCAAGAAGAAGGCAGAAGAGCTGTTGCGCTACCTCCGCAAGACCGTCCCGCAGGAGTACCACGAGATTTTGACGCCGGACTACGAAGTCTTCTGCAAGCGCCGCGTCGTCGACGAAGGCTGGTTCAAATCCCTGGGCCTGCCCAACGTGGAGCTCACCACCCTGCCGCTGACGTCCATCCAGCCGCGCTCCGTGACGCTAGGACCCGGCCGCCACTACCCGCCGCTCTCCAAGACGGACAGCACCGCGCCGACCGACGAACGCACCATCCCCGCCGACGTGATCATCCTGGCGAACGGCTACGAGACGAACCAGTGGCTCCACCCGCTCGACGTCACCGGCCGCCACGGCCGGTCGCTGTACAAGACGTGGGACGAGCGCGGCGGCGCGCAGGCCTACCTCGGCACCGCCATGGACGGGTTCCCCAACTTCTTCCTGATCTTCGGGCCCAACACGGCGACGGGCCACTCGTCGGTCATCCTGGCGTCGGAAAACATGGTCAACTACGCGCTGAACTTCATCGGCCCGATCCTGCGCGGCGAGGTCGCCACCGTCGACGTCAAGGAGTCGGCCGAGCGCGCCTGGACGGCCCAACTGCAGAAGGAACTGCGCAACAGCGTCTTCAACACGGGCGGCGGCCAGAACTGGTACGTCGACCGCAAGACCAATTGGAATGCCACCGTCTACCCGCGCACCCAGGTCGATTTCACCCTGCGCTGCATGTTCCCCGTCTGGCGGCACTGGGACATCCAGTACACGAGAAAGGGCCTCGTCAAGCTGGCCCTCACGCGGCTCGTCCGGTTGGTCGGCCTTGTCAGCCTGATCTGGGGGATCGTCTACGCGAGGAAGAACGGCGTCGAGAGGACGAAGCTGGTGGTCAGGGAGTTGCTGAGCAGGGGTGTCCAAGCTGGCAGGGCCGTGCTTGCCGTGGTGGGAGGCCGACAACTAAAGTGAGTTAGTGGGTGAGTGAGTGAGTGGGTGGGTGAGCGAGTAATCCGCAAGTAAGTAAGTAAAGACTGTAACTTCTCAGCAAGTGTGCCGGCTAGGCAGATTAGATCACCAAGGTCGTGACTTGCAAAGGATTATCTATCTTGGTTTTGAAGGAAGGACAAGGGTGCATCGGCCGTGCCCACAACCCAGGAATTTGATATGACACCAGGACCTGTCGATTGAACGACGGGGGGATTTACTCTTTGATCCTTACGTACTGTACCGTCAAGGATTCCATGCAATGCAACGCAGTATAACACATCTCGGGGTGTGCTCAATAATGCAGAGTGTGATTAATCAATCAATCAATGACTTCAACCCATGCTGGACACCCGATCGACCGGCAGGATTCTACAGTAATTAGCCCTCGTGTTCTACTGTATGTACAAGGTACGAGGTACAAGACAGGTACTCTTCCTCTGTACTCCGTACTCTGTCCTCGGTACTCGGCTCCAATGCACGCCACATGATCCAATTCGTTGAATGTACTCCGTACATTCCTTTGCTTCCAAGCGCCGTGATGCTAGACAATCCAGGACGGCAATTCCGCCTGCTACGGTAGATGAGTTGTCACACCAGTGGAGGCGACCAAATTTCCCGAACCTCTTTTTCAGTGAGTGCGATATCATCTCTGTATTCGAGAGAGCCGTGGGTTCGGGCAAGGATCGCCAAACAGGCTCTGTACATATCTGGAGGCGCAAAAAGATCGGGAGAGCTGCCTTTGACCCGATTCACAGGCCAGCTTCAATGTACAGAGTACAGCCCCTTTTGCTTCTGCCACTCGATCGATGATCTCGCTCGGGTCTCCCCCAACGGCAGCCCACACGGTTTAGATCTCCCTCGTCTTGTCCTGCTGGTTCTCATGAGAAGACTTTCTTTGAAGGATCAAAAAGAACCGCAACAATCTCGTCAAGGATCGTAAAGACGAGATGTTGGTTGAGTCGTGAATTGTTCATGGTCGCCGTGATTCTTCTGGCAGCCGCATGCGCGTTGGCTCTGCCCACCACATTGCCGGCTAGGTCAGGGACCAGAGTGGCCAACATGGCCGCCGCCTCGGACCTTGAGCGGGCCTTCTCGGCCGGCGTCCGCGGTTTGGCCTCTCTCATCTTCCCGCCTCCAGGCCACATTGTCTCCTTGATCATGTCGATGTACCTGATCAATGAATCCTCTTGCACGAAGCTCGTCACTATTTCCCGGACTTTGCGTTCAATGGTCCCGCCGAGCAGTTGATGGAGAACCACAATCACAGCACGACCGCGAAGCCAATTGTTGCCCCGGTTGAGTTCGAACGTTTCCAGGAACACGTCACAGATTGGCTTCACGAATGGTTCCAGCTCCTTGTCTTCAAACGCCGCGAGTTCGGCTTCGGCCTCAGCGACCGGACCGGGGTCGAGGGGGACAATATCACCCTGACTCATCCCGAGTTGACTTGTGGCGGCCGATATCAGGTTCTGTCCGGCAGCCGAGAGCTGATCAAGGACTGGGACATTCCCCAAGAATTCGTCCATACCCTCCGTGACAGAATTGTAGATGCGACTTACGATGTCCTGGGCGTTCGATTCTTTGCTCGTGTCCTGGTGGGAAGTGATGGTGGACTGCGATAGAAATGAGCGCAGCTCCCGGCTGCGACACACATCGGGCATTTGGAGTAATTGTTGTAGGTAACGTTCCAAGGCAAGACGTCGATTCTGGAGGAACTGTTTCTGCAGCTTCATGACTACTCTCCTCCTAGGAAATTCCAGGTTTCTGGTCGATGGATATCTGCGTCGCAGTCTTTGGTGCAGCTCGTGAAACTCGGAGTATCGCCGAGGAATGGCCCAGATTGCTGCTGGCATCTGGTCGCCGGCCTGTCGCTGAACCTCAATGACGTACAGAGCAAATTCGCGACCGTCGTCCTCCTTACCAACGACGATCGATTTGATGGAGATACTCGACCGACCGTACAAGCTGTTGTCGCTTTCTTGAACAATATATTGCTGTCGCTGAAGCTCTTTCCGGCGGACTTCCCGCTGCAGACTCGCCTTTGACTTGGCCAAAATGCGGAGCTCCGTAATATTGTTTGTCAGCTCGGCCTTCCGGGTCAGTGTATCAACTACTGCTTCTTGAGCGACCAGACGTTCTATGTCATTGTTCAGAGCGGTGATAGCCTCGGCGAGCCCAAGGTCTCCTGGAGCAGCTTCGTGGAT